AACTGCACTATCTTGTCAAGTGAGACTTGTCAAAGATAACAAAAACAGAATTCCTAAAATAAAAACAAATATTTTTTGTGTAGTGTTGTTTTCTTTCGTGCCTTATCTACAAGGTGGACAAAATGGTTTTGTCTACCACTCAACTTTACAAGGCTTCCACTTGACAAGCTAGAACTGAATCGGCGGTTAAGAGTAACTGCGCGGGTTTATTGGTAAACATGACCTCTGACCCAGTCAGAGATATAGTCACTATTAATTGGATTTTGCTTTCGTAACGTCTCGTGAATTTGCGAATGCATTATAATAATGTAAACATGAATTTAATCTGCTGAGATAGGTAGCTGTCGGGAAAAAGTTTCTTATGTTTTATATATTCGTGTAGTCATACCGTTGTGATATACATTTGCACAAAGTAATCGTTTCGCAGGGTTTACGTCGTACTGCAGCAATGTGTACACCACCAGGGGAGTAAATTGAATTAATAAATTATACATATATTGTCAGAGTTTCGATTTGTTCAGTCTTGACACAACCAAACATCATTAGAAACTCAAAGAACGCCTCCAGAACAATGAAATTGTTCTATTCTTACAAAGACAGATGATTATATGAGTGCATGGTTGTGATGTAATTTGGAACGTTATGTGTCTTGGTCTTGGTAGAATTTGTTGTTGATATTTTCTAGCAAAGTAAAGTATTAGTATGGATTCAAATTATGTAAATCTTCCGGTCGACTTTTTTCGATTTTTCTTTTTATGTGAAGCTTATTGTAAAAGAGAGTATATTAGGACTGGTTACAAAAACCTTGCATAGTTATCAATTTGCATCTAACATTTATCGACGGTATGTGTTCTTTAGAAAACAAATAATCTATTGATCACGTCGACAATTGCAAAAATGTATACTTCTCTCATGTTTTGTTTTATTTCGGTGTTAGTTTTTAATTCATAGGTATATCGGCACAATAACATGTACATGTGTCACAGAGAGCCTTTTAAAAGACAGATTTCCGGGTATCTGTTGTTAAATGAGAGGTGACGAGGGACTTATTTTCCATTAAAAATCCTTATTATAAGTCACATGCGACAACCTTTCTATGAATTGAGTTTGACCTTATGTCCCTTCGGTTATTTGTTTTAATATGATTAATATGATTTTCCTACGATATGCTGTTGCAGTTTGATGTCTTGTCAGAAGCAGTACGACATGGGAAATCTGATATAGTGAAGTTATTGTTAGAGAAAGGAGCTGATCCTAACATGGTAAGTACTTTTATATTTTCAAAAAAAAGTAGTTGACGACATGTTTAGTTTATAATCAAAATTCAAAGTTGTCGTTTAAATCAGTAACTTTGAACATCCTTTCTATGAATGTGTTGTTTCCACTGTCATTGCCGGATTAACTACAATAAACTCATATTAAACACATCTAATCATTGTCGTATGTTAATGTGTCTTTTCGGTATTTCACATCCCAAAAAGGGTTCTTAGCTTTCATGAAGAACATCAGAGAAAAAAAATCTGCAGTTAGAACAGGAATAAAAAAAAAATACATGAACTGTAAATTTTACATTAAGTTGAAAAACAATCACTTAAAATAAATACTGTTACCACATTTGACTTGAAAGTTTTCAAAATGTGTTACTTTTTTTTTTTTTTTT